TCCTTCAAAGCTTTTTTTGGTTTGTTAATTATTTTTGTTTTTTACATGGCTTTTTTATTGAGATGTAATAATTGTACATATGTATGGGTTACATGGGATATTTTGATAGGTGCTATAATACGTAATGATTATATTAGGATATTTAGCTATCTGTCACCTCAGACATTTATCATTTCTTTATGTTAGGAACATTTCACCTCTTCTAGCTATTTTGAAATGTATAATAAATTATAGTCACTCTACTATACTGTCAAATACTTGAATTTATTCCTTCTGTCTATGTTTGTATCCTTTAACATGATTAACCAACCTCTCTTTATCCACCCTCCTCAATCTTTCCCAGCTTCTAGTAACCATCATTCTACTCTCTACCTCCCTGAGATCAACTTTTTTTGGTCCCACATAGAAGAGAACATGTAATACTTGTTTTTCTATGCCTGGCTTATTTCACATAACACAGTGACCTCAGTTCCATCCATGTTGCTGCAAATGACAGGATTTCATTCTTTTTATATGGCTGAATAGTATTCTGTGTATATATACCACATTTTCTTTATCTATTCATCCGTTGATGGACACTTAGTTGATTCCATATCTTTGCTATTGTGAGGTGAACATGATAATCGCTACACTATGGAAACCCCCTAATGTTTGCTCTTGTGCATAGTGCTGCAGTATACATGGGGATGCAGGGATCCCTTAGATATACTGATTTCCTTTCCTTTGGATAAATACCCAATAATGGGATTGCTGGATCATATGGTAGTTCTATTTTTAGTTTTATGAGAAACTTCGGTACTACTGTTTTCCATAATGGCTGCAGTAATTTACATTCCCATCAACAGTGTATAAAAGTTTCCTTTTCTCCACATCCTCACCAGCATTTTTCTTTTTTCATTTTTTTGATAATAGCCATTCTGCCTGGGATGAGATGGTATCTCATTGGGGTTTTGACTTGCATTTCCTTATTGATTAATGATGTTGAGCATGTTTTCATCTAACTGCTTATCATATGTATGTCTTCTTTTGAGAAATGTCTATTCAGATCTTTTGCCTACTTTGTAATGGGGTTACATGGAGTTTTTTTGCCTTTGAGTTTGAGTTCCTTGTGTACTGTGGATGTTAGTTCCTTGTCAGATGACTAGTTGGTACATATTTTCTCCTATTCTACAGGTTGTCTCTTCACTCTATTGGTGGTTACATTTGCTGTACAGAAGCTTTTTAGATTAATATAGTCTCATTTGTTTATTTTTGTTTCTGTTGCCTGTGTTTTTGATGTCTTAGCCGTAAAATCTTTGCCTAGACCAATGCCCTGAAACATTTCCCCTGTGTTTTTTTTCCTAGTAGTTTTATAGTTTTGGATTTATTTTAAATCTTTAATCCATTTTGAGTTGATTTCTGCATATGGTGAGTGAGAGGGGTTTAGTTTCATTATGCTACATATGGATATCCAGTTTTCCCAGCACCATTTATTGAAGAGAGTGTCCTTTCCCCAATATATATTCTTGGCACATTTGTCAAAAATCAGTTGACTGTAAATACGTGGATTTATTTCTGAGTTCTCTGTTCCGTTGATCTATGTGTCTGTTTTTGTATCAATATCATGCTATTTTGGTTACTCTAGCTTCGTAGTATATTTTGAAGTCAGGTAGTGTGATGCCTCCGGCTTTGTTCCTTATGCACAAGATTGCTTTGGCTACTGAGAATCTTTTGTAATTCCACATGAATTTTAGGATTGTTTTTCTACTTCTGTGAAGAATGTCATTGGTATTTTGATACAGATTGCATTGAATCTGTAGGTTGCTTTGGGTAGTATGGTCATTTTAACAATATTATTTCTTTCAGGCTGGGCTTGGTGGCTCACACCTGTAGTCCTAGCACTCTGGGAGGACGAGGCAGGTGGATTGTTTGAGCTCAGGAGTTCGAAACCAGCCTGAGCAAGAGCGAGACCCTGTCTCTACTAAAAATGGAAAGAAATTAATTGGACAACTAAAAATATATAGAAAAAATTAGCCGAGCATGGTGGCGCATGCCTGTAGTCCC